AGGAGGAGGAGGAGAAGGAGAAGAAGGAGGAGGAGGAGAAGGAGAAGGAGAAGAAGGAGGAGGAGAAGGAGGAGAAGGAGAAGGAGAAGGAGAAGGAGAAGAAGGAGGAGGAGGAGAAGGAGAAGAAGGAGAAGGAGAAGGAGAAGGAGGAGAAGGAGAAGAAGGAGGAGAAGGAGGAGAAGGAGAAGGAGAAGGAGAAGAAGGAGAAGGGAAGGGACTCGGGGCGGCTTACATGGGGCCCAAGCCCAGGGTTGTTGGTACTTAATGGGCCTCTGGAATACAATGTGATATTGGTATATCATAATCTCTTAGTTCAGTGGTTCTCAGCCTGTGGTTCTGCATATGTTGTGGCCTGCAAATCCTAGAAATCCCAGCCAGTTTACCAGTTGTTAGGATTTCTGGGAGTTGAAGGCCAAAACATCTGGGGAGCCACAGGTTGAAGGCCACTGACTTAGTATATGATGGGACCTTGGTATATAATGCGCCCATGATACATAATGGGACATTGGTGTATAATGAGCCTCATCTATATAAATAAAAATGTAATGTTCGTTTGTGGGATTAACATAACTCAAAAACCACCGGACGAATTGACACCAAATTTGGACACAAGACACCTCCAAGGTCAATGTATGTCCTTCACTCAAAAAGATTGATTTTGTCATTTGGGAGTTGTAGTTGCTAGGATTTATAGTTAATCTACAATCAAAGAGCATTCTAAACTCCACCAGTGAGGGAATTGGGCCAAACATGGCACACAGGACTCCCATGACCAACAGAAAACACTGAAAGGGTTTAGTGGGCATTGACCTTGAGTTTGGGAGTTGTAGTTCACCTACATCTAGAGAGCACTGTGGACTAAAACAATGATGGATCTGGACCAAACTTGGCACAAATATTCCATATGCCCAAATAAAACACAGATGGAGTTTGGGGGAACTAGACCTTAACATTTGGGAGTTGTAGTTACTGGGATTTATAGTTCACCTACAATCACAGAGCATTCTGAACCCCTCCAACGACAGAATTGGGGCAAACTTCCCAAACAGAACCCCCATTGGGGCAGCCTTTCTTCTTCCTACCTGATGGGTCGGAGGCAAAGGGGGCAAGCTGGCCTCTCGGCCAATTCTCACAGGTCCCGGTGGCAGTTTTGGGGCTGGGTCTTCATGTCTCGGTTCTTCGTTCCTCTGGATCGCCTCGAAGTGCTTTTCTTCATTTTCCTTAGAGGGAGAATAAAAGACAGGCCGTCAAAATATGTTACCATTTTGTGGGTGGTTTCTCTCATGTCCCCGCATGAGAAGCTGGAGCTGACAGATGAGAGCTCACTCCGTCTCGCAGATTCGAACTGCCAACCTTATGGTTAGCAGTTCAGCTAGCATGAGGATTTAACCCACTGCGCCACTGCGGCTCTTATTCGGTTACTTTGGGCCAATCAGCTCTCTCATCTTCTGAGGTCATTCTAGATCCTGATCCCGTCCTCTGGGCATTAGCTGTCACTCCCAATTTAGAGTCAGATGCAAATTAGATCAGTGTGCCTAATGTGATGGGTGAAGTGAATGAAACTGTATGATTAGGGTCTTGCTAATCCTAAAATGAGAACCAATGACATTATGGAGGAGGTGAAGATTTGATTAACTTTGGCATGAAAAGTGCTGACCTGACATAACTGACCTGGGAACTTTTGGTGTTAAGAACACATGTTTACATAGTCAGAGACAATGGCACTTTAAGTTAAGGAAGTCAGAAACAACGGGCCCTTACATTGAGGAAGATAAAAACATCAGTTCCGGAACTGACGGAGCTTCATCAAATCCAGAATGACAACAGCAACAAGGTTCTATATAAGGAGACCCTTTTCTCTTTGAAAAGTGTGTCAGATCTGCGAGGAATGCAGACTCTGAACACCCACCTCCTTCCAAGATGGACTGAATGAAGAAGGACGGTGAGTTTGAATGATTGAGGGAATGGATTATGAGTGAATGTTGAGTATATATTGTTGAAGACTTTCATGGCTGGAATCACTGGGTTGTTGTGAGTTTTCCGGGCTGTATGGCCATGTTCCAGAAGAGAGAGAATGCTTCTGGAGCATGGCCATACAGCCCAGAAAACTCACAACAACCCTGTTGAGGATATGTTTCCTCTTTTTGATTGTGTAACCAATATAGCTATTGTAAAACCCGGTATTTGAGTCTGTGTCTACTTCTTTCTCTGAAAGTGCCTGATGCACTCTGTCCTACTGAAAACAGATTGAAGAACACTTTTAAGGTTCAAAAAGTATTCATGACACCTCTATACCGTCATCCAAGTCATGAATAAAGAGCTGGAATATGTTGGAGTTCAGCCTGTGATTGTGTCTAATAATCAGGGTACTCTGGATGTTGGGAGTGACTAATGATATGTCTAATGATGAGGTTGCCCTAGCGAATGACAATGAGATTTCTGTTCAAAGTGACTTTTCTGATGAGAATATTCCTGAAGGGTTTGGGGATGATGGTCTGTTTCCTGGGCCTGAATTGCTACCAGAGAATTCCCAAGGCTCTGAGCCTGAGAAAGGCTCAGCACCTGGGCCAGCTGCAGAAATTAATGAGCCAGTAGATAGAAGAAATGCTTTCAGTCAGCAAAGGAAACAAACCAGGCTCTCAGGTGCTCTGTCAGATTGCAGGAGAGACTGATAGTAGATTCAAGAAATCCTTTCCTGGCCACTTGGGATATAGAGTAGATCAGGGGATAAAAGTGCCAAGTACAGAATCTGTAGTCAGATGAAGCAACATTGGAATTGAGTCAGGACGTTGTCTCAGGTCCCTGGAAGCCTTGCCTTGGATAGATTCTTGTATCAAATACCTTGTAATTTCCCTGTTGAAGTGCCTTGTTTGATTCATGCTCAAGTTTTGGGGTTTTGCCTTGAAAGTTCCAGTATTTGTTGTCACGATCCGTGATGGACTATTTCCTGGATTTGTTGTTCTTATCTTTCCTTTCTACCTAATTGGATTTACCTTTTTTGTGGATTTTTTTTTACTGCTACTGCTTTTAAATATCTCCAATAAACTGCTTGCATTTTACTCAGCTGTGTGATGTTTAAAGTCAGAGGGCTTCCTGGCCTGGAGTGCAACAGAATAGCCCTGAAAGACCCAGGACAGGACCCTCTTTATGGCACCTAGATGGTCACTTCTCTCCAGGAGGAAGAAGAAAAGGGAGCCATTGGATAGAAGCGCCCTTTGGGTTCGGCCATTCAACCTATTCCCAATCCACCTCACAAGAGTGCACTGAACCAAGGCCTGACCTCCTTCTTCTGTTGCTCTTTGGCCGCCTGGCGCTCCTGGTGCTCCTTGGCCTGGCGTCGTGCTCGCTCTTCCTCGGCCCTTCTCTGGTTGTCTTCCTCGGCCGTCTTCGCCATGTTCTCAAAGCGCTGCCGCAGGCTCCCTGCCCCGCTGGATGCTGTTTTGCAAGGACAAGACAGAGATCAAGGGGTGTTGGTGCTCCCTCATTGCCCTGTCCCTCTATTATTAATTATCCCAACACAGATCATGAAGCCCACCTCCTCCAAGGTGAACTGAACCACCTAAACTGGGCTCTACAGGATAATAGATTTTCTATGACACACATTGGAAGAGCTTCAAGGCCAAGAACAAGCCACGAGAGTCAAGACAAAGATCCATCCAGAGGAAACGTGTTCTTGCCAAACAGCATGGGAACCACGGACTGCATAGGGAAGCCGACGAGGAAACACAACCAACAAACTATCTACAGACCTACCAAGAAGATTCAACAAATGCTACATTCAGCAAAGAACAAGAGGGATCCTCTCACCTCTGCAGGAGTCTCCCGTGTACCATGCAGCTGTGGACAAGTCTACATAGGGACCCCCGAACGCAGCATTGCCCAAACATGAATCAAGGAACATGAAAGGCATTGCAGACTAATCCAAGTAGAGAAGTCAGACACAGCAGAACACCTGATGAACCAACTTGGTTGGTTCATCAGGCGCTCTACCTGGGTGTGACTGTGAATGTGGTAATGCCTGAGTCATGTTAGATAGAAATAGCTGTCTCACCTCAGGATAAATTCACCTTGCTCAGAACACCACACACACCAAGGCTGTAGGTTTTGTAGTTTGTTAAAGAAAAGGTAAAGTCTTAAACACAAAAGTAAAGTTGCAAAAGTTCAATAGCCAAACAGAGTCTTAAATGCAAAGGCAAAGTTTCCAAAGTCCAAAGGCAAATAACATGAAGCAGATTCCATAAGCGTTGATCAAACAAGATTCCATGGCAGCATGACAGAGTCCCAAGAAGCTAAGATCCAAATCAAAGTCCCAAGAAGCCAAAAGCATTGCTCAGAAGCCAAGACAATCCAGAGAAGTTATCAGGGTGTTTGCTGAAGTTGCACTGACAAAATCAGCTCACTAAATATACTTTCCCAGCATGAAAGCACTCCTTTGATCTCTAACCTCTCTCTTGTTTGCAAGCCTTGTACTACGAGAAATCCTGAATTGCAAGCGGTCCTCCCTATCTAAATCTGCAGAGCCTTCAAGGTCAAATTACTCATTATCCTGGAGCTGGGAATCAGCAGCCTGAGAATCAGCAGGCAGAGCGCTCACAGGCTGGCTCGCCTCCTCCACCTGCACCTGTGAAGTTTCACTAAGATCAGAAACATCTTAGAATCATAGAATCATAGAATCATAGAATCAAAGAGTTGGAAGAGATCTCCTGGGCCTTCATCCAGTCCAACCCCATTCTGCCAAGAAGCAGGAATATTGCATTCAAATCACCCCTGACAGATGGCCATCCAGCCTCTGTTTAAAAGCTTCCAAAGAAGGAGCCTCCACCACACTCCGGGGCAGAGAGTTCCACTGCTGAACGGCTCTCACAGTCAGGAAGTTCTTCCTCATGTTCAGATGGAATCTCCTCTCTTGTAGTTTGAAGCCATTGTTCCGCGTCCTAGTCTCCAGGGAAGCAGAAAACAAGCTTGCTCCCTCCTCCCTGTGGCTTCCTCTCACATATTTATACATGGCTATCATATCTCCTCTCAGCCTTCTCTTCTTCAGGCTAAACATGCCCAGCTCGTTAAGCCGCTCCTCATAGGGCTTGTTCTCCAGACCTTTTATCATTTTAGTCGCTCTCCTCTGGACACATTCCAGCTTGTCAATATCTCTCTTGAATTGTGGTGCCCAGAACTGGACACAATATTCCAGGTGTGATCTAACCAAAACAGAATAGAGAGGTAGCATGACTTCCTTAGATCTAGACACTATGCTCCTATTGATGCAGGCCAAAATCCCACTGGCTTTTTTTGCCGCCACATCACATTGTTGGCTCATGTTTAACTTGTTGTCCACACATGGGACAACATCCCTTCCCATGGGAAACTGGAACTCCTCGTCTTCAGCATCAACATCATCTGTATCAACAGACAGATTAGAGAGATGGGCCAAAACTAACAAAATGAAGTTCAACAGTGACAAATGCAAGATACTCCACTTTGGCAGGAAAAACGAAATGCAAAGATACAAAATGGGGGACGATGAGGCCTGGCTTGAGAGCAGTACGTGTGAAAAAGATCTTGGAGTCCTCGTGGACAACAAGTTAAACATGAGCCAACAATGTGATGTAGCGGCAAAAAAAAAACCAATGGGATTTTGTCCTGCATCAAGAGGAGCATAGTTTCTAGGTCCAGGGAAGTCATGCTCCCCATGCTCTATTCCGCTTTGGTTAGACCACTTTACCTGGAATATTGTGTCCAATTCTGGGCACCACAATTCAAGAGAGATATTGACTCTAAGCTGGAATGTGTCCAGAGGAGGGCGACTAAAATGATAAAGGGTCTGGAGAACAAGCCCTATGAGGATCGGCTTAAGGAGCTGGGCATGTTTAGCCTGAAGAAGAGAAGGCTGAGAGGAGACATGATAGCCATGTATAAATATGTGAGAGGAAACCACAGGGAGGAGGAGGGAGCAAGCTTCCTTTCTGCTTCCCTGGAGATTAGGACGCAATGGAACAATGGCTTCAAGAGAGGAGATTCCATCTGAATATGAGGAAGAACTTCCTCATATTCAGATATGAGGAAGAACTTCCTGACTGTGAGAGCCGTTCAGCAGTGGAACTCTCTGCCCCGGAATGTGGTGGAGGCTCCTTCTTTGGAAGCTTTTAAGCAGAGGCTGGATGGCCATCTGTCAGGGGTGATTTGAATGCAACATTCCTGCTTCTTGGCAGAATGGGGTTGGACTGGATGTCCCAGGAGGTCTCTTCCAGCTCTTTGATTCTTTGATTCTATGATTCTATGAATGTGTGTGTATTAATGGCTGAGTCAAAACTATGTGAGAGTTATTGCAAAAGGGGTTGCATCAGCCAGTGTCCCTTACTGATTACCTATCAGCAGATGGCTGTCGCAACTCAGGATAGATTCACCTTGCTCAGAACACCATCACACACGAAGGCTGTAGGTTTTTGTAGTTTATTGAAGAAAAAGCAAAATCATAACACAAAAGTGAGGTTGTAAAAGTTCAATAGCAAAACAGAGGCTTAAATGCAAAGGCAGAGTTCTCAAAGTCTAAAGGCAAACAACATGAAGCATAATCCATAAGCATTGGTCAAACAAGAATCCATGGCAGCATGACAAAGTCCCAAGAAACCAAGATCAAAATCAAAGTCTCAAAGAGCCAAAAGCTTTGCCCAAAAGCCAAGCCATTTCCAGAGAAGTTAACAGTTAGCAAAAGTTGCACTGACGAAGGGTTGACTGCAATCAGTTCTCACTTTCCTAGCATGAAAGCATTCCTTTGACCTCTAACCTCTCTGTTGTTTGCAAGCCTTGTTCTACAGCGAACCCTGAATTGCAATCGATCCTCCCTATCTAAATCTGCAGAGCCTTCAAGGTCGAATAACTCATTATCCTGGAGCTGGGAATCGGCCGCCTGAGAATCAGGCACCTGCACATGGGAATGTTCACTAAGATCAGAAACATCTCTTGGCATGGGAAACTGAAACTCCTCGTCTTTAGTATCAACACGTCTACATCATCTGCATCAACAACAGGAATATGTTCAGGAATCTGAAACCCATCACCCTCCTTGTCCTGAAGAAGCTCAGGCTCCAGTTGAGCCACAACACTGGCTATATAAGGCGGATGAAAGAATCCATCTTTCTCTCTCCTGTGTGACTCAGTGTGAGTATCTCCCTGTGTTGGAGAACACATACATGCTGGACCACTCTGACAGAGAAGCCATTGAAATCCACAACAAGCATGTGGACAATGTCAACAGAAAGGAGGAAACCATGAAAAGGAACACAGTCTGGTGTCAAGTATTAAAAACACTAGAATCAAGACAGTAAATGCTGTGGGAACTGTACATTTGCAAGGTCTTGAGCCTTCTCTGTCAAAGAGTGTTGGATTATAACTCCCAGGATTCCATACTATTTATTTACTTATTTAGAACTTTTATATACCAGTCTTCTCACCTCCAACGAGGGACTCAGGCCGGTTTACAAGGGGGTTCATACACAATAGTTTAAAAACATCACATCAATAATGCACTAATATAAACACATTAAAGTACTATCATATAATTATATAAAGCCAAGTCGTTAGCATAAAAATCACTATTCATCCCCATCCGTCCGTGTGGTCAAAAGCCATTGCCTCACTCATCAAATGCCAGATTCCAAAGCCAGGTTTTCACCAACTTTCTAAAGGTCAGGAGGGAAGGGGCAGTTCTAATCTCCAATGGGAGAGAGTTCCAGAGCCGAGGGGCCACCATCGAGAAGGCCCTGTCCCTCGTTCCCACCAGATGCGATTGCTAAGATGGTGGGACCAAGAGCAGGGCCCCTCCAGACGATCTTAACAACCTTGATGGTTTGTAGGGGAGACTCCATTCGGACAGGTAAACTGGGCCAGAGTAGTTTAGGGATTTATAGGTCAACACCAGCACTTTGAATTGTGCTCGGAAGCCAATTGGCAGCCAGTGGAGCTGGCGCAACAGAGGAGTAGTATGCTCCCTGTACCCCGCTCCTGTTAGTAATCTGGCTGCCGCTCATTGGACTAATTGCAGCTTCTGGGCAGTCTTCAGAGGCAACCCCATGTAGAGAGCGTTGCAGTAGTCTAAATGGGATGTAACCAGAGCGTGGACCACTGTGGCCAAGTCAGACTTCCCAAGGTACAGGCACAGCCAGCGCAAAAGTTTAATTGTGCAGAAGCTCAGCAGTGAGTCCATGATCACTCCCAAGCTGCAAACCTGTGCCTTCAGGGGGAGTGTGACCCCGTCGAGCACACGCTGTAACCCTATGCCCTGTTCGGCCTTTCGACTGACCAGGAGTACCTCTGCCTTGTCTGGATTTAGTTTCAATCTGTTGGCCCTCATCCAGACAGTCACAGCGGCCAAGCACCGGTTCAGGACTTCAACAGCCTCCTTAGTAGCAGGTGGGAAGGAGTAACAGAGTTGGACATCATCTGCGTACAAGCCATGGCAGCTAAAGTGGGCCCAAACTGCATTGATTCTTCAGTGCAGAGGCACCCCAAGCCTAAGATCCTGCGATCCTGACAAGAGGGTGAGAAAGCATTGTCTTGGAGGAACTTACCTGCCTCCGTGGGCTTCGTCTTTTCATAGGATGAAGCGGGTGCTTCCATCTCACCAAAACCAGCGGCGCTCTGGGAAGGACAAGATACAAATATTTATTATTCCACATATTAAGAACAACGCAGGAAAACATCCACTGAGTAAATGGAGCAGAGCTGGGGGGCATTTATTTATTCATTCATGGAACTGTTTGGTTTCCTAACATTTTTATCAAAAGGCGTTTACCTGGAGAGTCTGTCTGCATTACCTGAAACATTTGGGACCAGAGATGCATCTTCACTGCAGAATGAATGCATTTTGTCACCACATGAACTCAGCGCTATAGAACTATGAGAGTTGTACTTTGGTCCTCTTGGCAGAGAAAGGTGAAGATCTTGCAGGATTCATAGAATCATAGAATCCTAGAGTTGGAAGAGACCTCATGGGCCATCCAGACCAACCCCCTTCTGCCAAGAAGCAGGAATATTGCATTCAAATCACCCCTGACAGATGGCCATCCAACCTCTGTTTCAAAGCTTCCAAAGAAGGAGCCTCCACCACACTCTGGGGCAGAGAGTTCCACTGCTGAACGGCTCTCACAGTCAGGAAGTTCTTCCTCATGTTCAGATGGAATCTCCTTTCTTGTAGTTTGAAGCCATTGTTCCATTGCGTCCTAGTCTCCAGGGAAGCAGAAAACAAGCTTGCTCCCTCCTTCCTGTGCCTTCCTCTCACATATTTATGCATGGCAATCATATCTCCTCTCATCCTTCTCTTCTTCAGGCTAAACATGCCCAGCTCCTTAAGCCGCTCCTTATAGGGCTTGTTCTCATAGGTCTTGTTCTCCCAGGATTCCACAGCATTGAGGATCAGCCATGAAAACAGTGTCAAATAGCTTGCTTACTTACTTACTTACTTAGGCTATCCCTCATTAGACAAATAGGATAGTCCTCCAGGATCAGTTTTATTGTGGATCCGTAGGTGACTGTGGAGCCCTATTCTTGACCTGCATCTTCTCCCGCAGTGAGGGCATTGGTTTCTAGGTGGGAGGCGGTCCCGGTCGGGGTTGGCTTGACGCGCCTTCCTCCTGGCACGTTTCTGTCTTTCACCCTCCATTCGTGCCTCTTCAAATTCTGCAGCACTGCTGGTCACAGCTGACCTCCAGCTGGAGCGCTCAAGGGCCAGGCCTTCCCAGTTCTCAGTGTCTATGCCAGAGTTTTTAAGGTTGGCTTTGAGCCCATCTTTCAATCTCTTTTCCTGTCCACCAACATTCCGTTTTCCGTTCTTGAGTTCGAAGTAGAGCAACTGTTTTGGGAGACGGTGGTCGGGCATCTGGACAATGTGGCCGGTCCAGCAGAGTTGATGACAGAGGATCATCGCTTCAATGCTGGTGGTCTTTGCTTCTTTCTGCATGCTGACGTTTGTCCGCTTGTCTTCCCAAGAGATTTGCAGGATTTTCCGGAGGCAACGCTGATGGAATCCAACGATCGGCAGCCAGGATGCTAACAGGAGCGGCACTCAGGGAGCATACTACTCCTCTGTTGCGCCAGCTCCACTGGCTGCCAATTTGCTACCAGGCACAATTCAAAGTGCTGGCTTTAACATTTAAAGTCCTAAATGGTTCTGGCCCGACCTACCTGTCCAAATGCATCTCCTCCTATGAACCAGTTAGGACATTAAGATAGTCTGGGGAGGCCCTGCTCTTGGTCCCGCCAGCTTCACAAGCACACCTGGCGGGGACTAGAGACAGGGCCTTCTCAGTGGTGGCCCCTCAGCTGTGGAACGCCCTTCCTACAGATATCAGATCTGCCCCCTCCCTGTTGGCATTCCGGAGGAGAGTGAAGACCTGGCTGTTCGAACAGGCATTCAACTAGGCAGTGAAATTGATTATTGGAACACGGAATAATGGATAATGATGGATTCTGTTTCTATTGATGAGACGTGATGGATTTGTTACCTTGATGTATTGATGTTTGGTGTTTAATTAATTGTTATGCTACTGTTTTTAAATGTTCAGTGAGTTTGTACTGTGTATACTGGAACTGTTGTTGTTAACCGCTCTGAGTTGCCTAAGGGCTGAGAAGAGCGGTATACAAATGAAGTAAATAAATAAATAATAAATAAATAATCATTCCAGGAGTTGCATGCGGCATCTGTAGACAGTCCATGTTTCGCAGGCATATAGCAAGATTGGGAGGACAATAGCTTTATAAACAAGCACCTTGGTATCCCTTTCACCCTCCATTCGTGCCTCTTCAAATTCTGCAGCACTGCTGGTCACAGCTGACCTCCAGCTGGAGCGCTCAAGGGCCAGGGCTTCCCAGTTCTAAGTGTCTACGCCAGAGTTTTTAAGGTTGACTTCGAGCCCATTTTGAAATCTCTTTTCCTGTCCACCAACATTACATTTTCCGTCCATGAGTTCGGAGTAGAGCAACTGCTTTGGGAGACGGTGGTCAGGCATCCAGTCTAGCAGAGTTGGTGGCGGAGGACCATCGCTTCAATGCTGGTGGTCTTTGCTTTTTCCAGCATGCTGACATTTCCCCGCCTGTCTTCCCAAGAGATTTGCAGGATTTTCCAGAGGCAGCGCGGATGGAATCGTTCCAGGAGTTGCATGTGACGTCTGTAGACAGTCCACGTCTCACAGGCATATAGCAGGGTTGGGAGGACAATAGCTTTATCAACAAGCCCCTTGGTATCCCTATGGATGTCCCGGTCCTCAAACACTCTCTGCTTCATTTGGAAGAATGCTGCACTCAGAGCTCAGGTGCTGATAGAATCGTTCCAGGAGTTGCATGTGACGTCTGTAGACAGTCCACGTCTCGCAGGCACATAGCAGGGTTGGGAG